AAGGTAACTTGTAGGTATAGAGCATAGTTGTGAAATGCATTCCATCTTTGTACTCGGCTTCAATGTATCAAGAGGTTTGTGAATTGATATTGCTGAAGGGTGACAGTGGGCTATCCAAACACGAAAAATTATAGCATGAAGCGGCCTTTGTGTGTTTCATGAGTCCTGATGTGACATCATTTTACGGGTACGAACACTCTTCATTTCATCGTTAAGACTGTTTTTTTTATTATTGATATTTCACCCTCAGTCTGCATTTTACCCCTGGTCTGCAGTCTGCAGTTTACCCTCAGTCTGCATTTTACCCCCGGTCTGCAATCTGCAGTCTGCAGTCTTCGTTTTACACTGACCGCACTGCAACTGATTATGATTAAACAGTTCTTGGATTAAAAAAAAAATTGCGAATAAAAGATAATCGATTGCCTCAGCTTTGTTTGAGAATACCACTACGTTACGCGGAAATCTTTCTCAAGCTCTCTACATACAGATCTTAAACGATTAGTCTTTGAGTCGAATCATGCTCATTTTCCAAACTGCATTCGAAATAAAGTATTCGAGATATTTAAATAAATTTACAAATGTGTCTGCATGAGTCAACTACCTGCCCACATTATATCTAAGTTATGCTCCCCTACAATGAATCAACACGCAATGGTTGAAGCTGTCTCTGGTAACAGGAAGTTTATCAGCTTATTAACTTTCAACATGAATTATTCCATAAACAATAAATGATGGGGTAAGGTTAGAAAGTAAAGCTCTCTATACTCACTTGTTCGCCATCATGCCGAATGAGGCTAACCGTGTCTTCCGCCAAGTTGTTCATTTCTTCTAATGTCGTTTCGCCAACCATTTTTTCTCTTTCTTTCAACGTTTAGCGGGGCTCTTACACACTTAGGTATTAAGATCCCTACAAAGACGCCAGCCAAACTTACGAAAAAACGAGAATAAATCTGCCGACTTCCTCTCTAGAGCGTGACGTGTTTTCAGTGGAAGTTTATGTTTCCAGACGATGAGAGTTGTTTCCAGACTCTTGCAGTCGTTTTGAGAGCCCGCTGTACTTTTGATCATCAGTGACGAATGACCGGCTAGCGTCATATCCTGTCTGTCAGTCTTCCGTGGGGTCTTCTGCCTTTGGGAAATGAGTGAGAATTGCCAAAATCAAGGTAGACATTGACAGCTACACATGTTTTCTTTATTTTTGCTATTTTTCCGGCTAAATAGAATAAGCATATACTAAAACAGTGGACACCGTAGATGGCACGCTCTGATTGGCAAGTCAAACTCAGTTTTCCCTTTACTATTTATCACCAAGCAACTCACGCGAAATTTGCGCCCAAAAATTTTGTAATCGTTGCAGGAATAAATGAGTCAACGTAATCTTTTGTGCCATGCTATCTCACGGCCATGCTCTAATAAGCGCCCACCGCCGAATGAGTACCCGTCGACGTCACTCTAAGCCATAATGTTAAACAATCGCCCCC